TTTTGGTCAAAAAACTAGTAAAAATGGCCTTTTTTCGATATTTTGGTCAAAAAAACCACCCAAAGATGATTTTTTGGCATATTTTTTCAACGGAATTTGTTTTTCTGACTCTTATCTATGAAATAAAAAAAGATTTCAAGTCAATAACATCATTAATAGTTGAGTTAATGACCAAAACATGATGATATAAAAGTCTAAAAATCCTAGCCCACACAAAATATTTGATAGGTCGATATTTTTCTTATTACCACGTCAACGAAGAAATCGTAGTATGCAGTTTTGTTTGTTTTTAGGTCCCCTAACATCCCGCATTTAAAGTGTCCATGTGTGAGAGGATGTGTTGTACGGTGAAATTATTGAATCTACTTTAAACTAGTTGCAAAATTCCACTAAAGGCAAATTGCGTTCGTTTCACTCGATTGTTTTATATTGGTGGAATGGAAAAAAAGTGCTCAGATTCTTTCCCTCCGATTTTGTGTTCATTCATGTTCAACAATATGCTGCCCGTCATAACAGTATTATGAATATAGTTTTCATAGCATTACCATTTAGTGTTACTCTCAGATTTTTTTTCTGTTATTACCAACATGTTATCATGCTAAACACAGCGTATGCAATACAAATTTGAATTCGAATGTTGGTCGTGTGTCAGTGCATTTAAAGTTATATCATAGAAATGAAGCTAAAAACGAAAAGCAGTTGCCAATTGACACAGCACATAATCCAGATGATGCTGAAATATAATAAGAAACGGCAAAAGCGAATTTTATTCGGCATAAAACCGTGTTTGAAAGATTTCAGTGTGTGAGTGTTTTTCCCAATATAGTTTCGCCTGGTTTTTCTTCGTCTGTGCATGAAGAAAAGAAAAATGTGGAAAGTTTCTTGTTTCAATACCATTGTCACTAAGGAAAACTTAAATTGGTAAAAAAAAATTCCTGTCTTCCTTTTGGTCGATGTTTCTGCTTGTTTTCATGTTGATATTTTTGGTGCATCGGCAACGATGTTCGAGAGGCTTGTTATTATGTGTATGTTTTGCTTTTCAAGCGTTTTTTTTTTTGCTTTTGCTCTTCCTCTTCTATCGTTTATTTCGCACCATATCGCTACCATATTTCTGCAGCTCGTTATAGTGCAAATATCATCCGTACCGGATATAAAATAAACATCGAAATATTTCAATTCAAAGAACACGAAAATATTGAAAATTGCAGAAATGAAAAGTTATTTGTATTTATTTATTTAAAGCCGTTCACTCAGTAGACGCCCGTCGATTGGCACAAACCGAATCGAAAAACGAAGATGAAGACGAGAGAATGTGAAGAAACTTGTGGGGAAGAAGAGAGGGAGAGAAAGACACACACACACAAACACACACATTATTTATGCATTGGATTTTCGAATACAGTTCAAATAAATTGCGAGAGAGCTTTTATAATTTCTTCGTCGATGCCATTGAGTTGAATTGTATTTTCCAGTTTTAGATGCTAGTTTATTTAATACCATCATTTCCAAAAGTATTTTTCCACAATTTCGGTACAATTTTCCAAAACTATAAATTGACGATGGGCTTTGAGGTTCGTATATACTTCTTTCATTGCATGCACGACATGCATTGAGCATTTTCACTCCGAATTTTAATTGGACATCCATCTGTTGTTTGCTTTTGTCAATGGCAAGCGATAAAGCGTATCGACGATTGCGACCAAAAGTGCAAATGGTCTTGCAAAACATTTGCGGTGAGACAATACACACTTGGCATATTATTATTATGGCATAGTATTTGGCTGGTCGACCATAATTCATAATTCACATTTCGGTTGCCTTGCCGACTAAATGCGTGTGTAAGACAGATAGAACGACAGAGCGAGCGAGCGAGCGAGCAAGATGTACCAAAA